GCCGCCATCCCTCCAGTTCATCGACAACTACCTAACCACAGCTTCGAACGCGAAGCGGCAAGTCGGTCAATGTAAAGCCTCGCATAACTGGAAATTACCGGAACTTTGCATTGGAGCAAATGATGGAATAGTAAAAAAAATTACAGAACCCGGTTTTTTTTTCTTTTCTTTCTTTCTTTTTCTTTCTTTCGGACCTGCACGGTTCAGGTCCGAAAGAAAGCATAAATAAGACGAAAAAAACGAAGAGAAAGAGAGGAGGAAAAGAAGAATGGATTTGAGAGGATGAGGAACACCAAGCAGCAATTAAGCAAAATAATAAAAAACGAAGGTAAAAAAAGGAAAAGGAATACACACGAACTAAACAAATTCGAAGAAAGCCGGACTATGTTACAGAGGTTACAGTAATGTAGTCTAACATTTTTATCGAATAACATTATACTAAGTGATACGCTATAACATTCATCAAATTATACAGTATAATATTCACACAAAAAATATCTAATACTATGAACATATCAAAAAGCGGGCTATTATTACACTTAAAATTTATTAATAGTGGGCAATCAAACCAATTTATAAACGAACAAACTTACCATCCAATATATACGGGCAGAGCCTTTCTACTTACCTGGAATTACATGATCTAAACACAAACATCAGCTGATTAACCAAAATTAGCACTGACCCATACACTCTTTATTTATATTTGAAGAGTAATAGCAACACAACACTACTAATCCAAAAGGAACTTGTACTTCAATTATTCCTTTTTTTGGCAATCTCATTATAACGTATAATTCAGATTATAATGAATTCAGATCAGATCCATATTGAACGATTTTATAGTTGCACAATTCAAGGCTTTCAGTCTGCATAGTCTGCTAGTATCAGAGCCTTTAAAAATCCATACAAAACTATTTCTCACCTAAATTCTGCCAAACGCTGTGAGTGAATATCGCCACAGAACGGCTTTCCAGACATAAAACTCTAAGGTTCAGCCTGCATAGTGTGATACTGAGAGAACCTCTGTAATATCTCCCTAAAACAATCTCTTATCAAAATTCTGCAGTCTGTTGTGAGTGAATATAACTTCTTAACGATACTACAAGTGCACAATTAGAATTACAATATTGGCCACTCACTGAAACTCTGAAATATCTCATCAAAACAATTCTACATTCTTAACAATATGAATAGTGCACAATTCAAGACCTTCAGTCCGCCCAGTCTGCTTGTGCGAAAGCCTCTGGATTTCTCCACAGTACAAATCTCCAACAAGACTCTGCCTACCGTTTCGAGAGAATATCCCTAGAGAACGATTTTTCAATTGCACGAATCAGCACTCTCAATAAATTTTGCCTGCTATTGCGGAAACCTCTAATTATTTCCACACAAAACCTTACACCAAGTTTTCCCGAACGCTGTGAGTGAATATTGCCACAGAACGACTTTCCAGATGTAGAACTCGAGGGTCCGGTCTGCATGGAATGCTACTGATAGAACCTCTAAAATACCTCAGCAAAAAATTTCTAACCAAAATTCTGCCTACTATTGTGAGTGAATATAGCTTCTTAACGGTATTTCAAATGCACAATTCAAGACCTTCAGTCCGCTCAATATGCTTGTGCGGAATGCTCTGGATTTCTCCACAATACAAATCCCCACCAAGATTCTGCTTACCCTTTCGAGAGAACATCCCCAGACAACCATTTTTCTGTTATGCAACTCAGGAGTTCGGCATGCATATTCGCTAGTGGGATGTAACTTCAAATTTTCTACAAAACATTCCTACACCGGAATTCTGCCTACTGTTGGGAGCAAATATCTCCACAGAACGACTTTCCATATAAAACAGACTTTAGTGCAAAACAATCTCCTGCTGAAATTCCGCCTACTGTAGTGAGTAAATATACATATACACATAGAACGACTTTTCAATTGCACAGTTCAGCTTTCTGTCTGCATAGCCTGATGGTGCGAAAGCCTTTAAATATCCCCACAAAACAACATCCCAAGAGAATTCCAAATTCTGCGTGAGTAAATATACACACAGAACGACTTTTCAATTGCACAGTTCAGCTTTCCGTCTTCATAGTCCGCCGTTGCGAAAGACTCTAAATATCTCCACAAAACAATCTACTGCTGTAATTCTGAATTCTGATGTAAAATAATATGCACCCAGAACGACTTTTCAAGTGCACAGTTCAGCTTTCCGTCTTCCTAGTCCGCCATTGCGAAAGACTCTAAATATCTCCATGAAACAACATCCCAGAGGAATTAAAATTTTTGTTGTGAGTTGTTATACACACAGGATGACTTTTCAATTGCACAGTTCAAGATATTCAGTCTGCAAAGTCTGCTAGTGCGAAATCCTCTGATTACCTCTACAAAACAACCTCCTGTTGAAATTTCGCCTACTCTAGTGAGTAAATATACACATAGAACGACCTTTCAATTGCACATTCAGCTTTGTATCTGCACAGCCTGATGGTGCGAAAGCCTTTAAATATCCCCACAAAACAATTAACACCGGAAGTTCTGCCTGCTGTTGTGAGTAGAAATACACACAGAACGACTTTTCATTTGCACAGTTCAGCTTACAGTCTTCATAGTCCGCCACTGCGAAAGACTCTAAATATCTCTACAATACAATCTCCTGCTGAAATTATGGCCTCTGTTGTGAGTAAATATACACCCAGAACGACTTTTCAAGTGCACAGTTCAACGTTCCGTCTTCATAGCTTCACAAAGCAATCTACTGCTAAAATTCTGAATTCTGATGTGAAATAATATACACCCAGAACGACTTTTCAAGTGCACAGTTCAACTTTCCGTCTTCATAGTGTGCTATTGCGATAGCCTCCAAACATCTCCACGAAACAACATCCCAAAGGAATTCCAAATTCTATTGTGAGTTGATATACACACAGAACGACTTTTCATTTGCACAAATCAAGACTTTCAGCCTGCAAGGTCTGCTAGTGCAAAAGCCTCTAAATATCCCTACAAAACACTTAACAGAGGAAGTTCTGTGTCTCGCTCTGCGTGACCCTTTAACCCTCGATAACCTTTTACCACCGATGTCACCATTGATAAAGCTGTAGATTATTTGCCCCGTGTGACCCGTGATAACCCCTTACACAATTTCTTACCGATGTTACCTTTGCTAATCATATAGACTATTTGCAACCCCTTGACCCTTGATAAACCACTTGTTTGTCATCCCGTATCGGCTGGGTATAAATACCCGTTGCACCGCCGATACGGGGCTTTTTGTGCTTTCAATAAAGTTTCACATAGCCACTGTGTATAAGCCACAATACACACAACTCGAGAAAAGGGTAACGGCAAGCTAGCCACTTACCAAAAAAGCACTTGTCCTCAAACCGGGACAGCTTTTGATGCATCGGCCAAATCAGCCACATATTTTCCCGGTCCATCGGATAACTCCGATTGAACTTGGAATAAACCACCGTCTGAAGTCAAAACCTTACATAAGCCTATTCCCTCGGCAAAACCTGTTGGAATCAGGAACCATTACTGTTCAGAGCAACAGTATCGAGCGGTCTTTATCAAAATCCATAGACTCGGAAATAATTTGCAAAAAAAAGGACAATAAACAAAGAAAAAGTCCAAAATGTCGCTGATCTTCCACAAAAAACCGATAGGATACAGCGCAAAAACTCTTAGCACTCTACTAGACAAGTACAGCCCATACGCAGAGGAAACAAACTCTGAAGGCGATGACCGCACACAGTACGAAGAGTACACCACCGCAGTGAACCTAATAGCTGACGGAATAAAAATAATAAAATCTAGCAGAGATTCCCTGCAGTCTCTCGTCGACAAATTAGAAAAAGAATTCGACGAAGCAAAATCCAGAGGTAATAAAAAAGACTTCATAAATGATATAGAAGACATTGATTCAGAGTGCAAATTCACGGAAAAAATAGCTCGTGCCAACGAAATAATCTACGTGTTGGAAGCACGACTAACAGAAAGCAGAAATAAACTGCCAAAACTTGCTCAAAAGCTGGGAATAAACCCGAGAAAGAGCGAAGTAGCACAGCGCAATGGCGCGAAAAAGGACGACACAAATAATGCGTCCACAGAAGAACCCGAAATCGACGGGGACTAAGCCTGGCTGTCAGAGGACATGTCCGAGAGGTCGGAGGAAGTACAATTTGATACAGAAGACGCGATTTGCTGCATTCTGAAACCCAGCCAGCTGAAAATGCCGAGATTCTATGGCGACGATTGGACTTCCCAGAATACTGGGCAGTCTTCCGAACACTAGTGCACGACAACAAAGTGTTAAGCACAGTGGAAAAAATGCTGCTTTTAAAAGACAGCTTGAGAGGAAGGGCTGAATTAGCCGTCAAAGGTATACAGTTGGTGCCAAAAAACTACAACTGGATGATTGAAGCTCTTGAGAAAAGATACGTAGATAAACCCATAAACAGAGCAAAAATAGTACAAAAACTAATTGACATGCGACCAGCTGCCAACAACGCGGCTGCCTGCAACAATGTCTTCGACAAAATTAGAATGCTCATTGACCAAATGGTATCAGCAGGTCAAGACATTCGCATTGCGCAAGACTTTCGGCTTTCGGCGCTATGGACAGAGAAGGTTCTCGAAAAATTCCCATACAGCATCGTGAAGAACGTCCTGATAACTACCCAGAGCAAGGACGAAGTCAAAATCGAAGACATCATGAACAAGCTGGAAAAAGAGATAGAAGCGAAGAAATTTGTAGAATCAAGATTGCGCAACTTCTCAAAGCACGACCACAACGGAGAAAGAGAGAAATACTCCAGAGAACAGCCTTGTGAGTCTTCAAAGGCGTGCGTATTTTGCAAAAATGCCAACCACACGTCAAATTATTGCAGAACGGTGGTAGGAATAAATGAAAGAAGAGATATCCTGAAAAAGGAGCAACTGTGTTGGAAGTGCTCTGCTGACAGCCATGAAAGCAGCGAATGTCCCAAGAAAAATTGCTCGCGCTGCAAACAAATGCACGATGTCAGCATATGTTTCGTCAATGGTCCCATGCAAAAAGGGAACGGTTCCAATGACTCCAACAAACCAAGTTCTGGATTCCAGCCTAGGAACAACATACCATCAGAACCAAGAAATCCCTATCAAGATAGAGGTGAAAGGCAGCCGTGGAATGGCAATAATTCCAGTGATGCTCGAAATAACAGACCCTTTCNAGAGAGCAAACAGCTCATGCAACAACTAACCGCTATCAGCAAACCTACAGAAGCAGAAATGCTCAACAAATTGTTCGAGTTGCAAGGTATGGGAATCAATCCCGATGAGTTGAAGAGAGAAGATACTACATTCTCATATTTTCAAAAGTATTCAAAAAGAATACAAATCAACAATGGGACAGTCACAGCACCACTACCATTAAAAGAGAACGTGACTGATCTCTCAGATAACTATGCTGTTGCTTACCGTAGACTGATATCACTGTGGAAACACATGCAAAATAACAAAGAGCAGCAAAAATGGTACACAAAAACTTTTGAAGAGTACATTTCCACAGATGTGGTCGAACACGCTGATGAAGTAAATACGAACAGCGTTGGCTGTTACTACATGCCACACTCAGGGGTATGGCGCCCTGCAAAACCAAAGCCACTCCGAATAGTATTCGACGCTTCGTCGAAAAAATGCGGACAACTGTCCCTGAATGACGTTGTCCATACCGGAGAATCGTTTGTGAACAAAATTCACGACATTCTCGTTGCAAGCAGAACCGGTAAAATAATACTGCTGTGCGATATTCAAGCAGCATTCACACAAATAAGGCTGCAAGAAGAACATAAAGACCTCTGCAGATTCTTATGGTTCAAGAAGGCAAAGGATCCACCAACACGTGATAACATTGTGGAGTACCGTTTCACTCGCTTACTTTTCGTTTTGACGGCTTCTCCAAGCATTCTTAACATGGTAATCCTATCATATCTTAACCACAAAGACACGGATATAGCTAGAGAGATCATGGACTACTTATACGTAGATAATATTCTTCTTCGAGCAAATACGACTGAAGAAGCACTCCAAAAATACAAGGATTCCAAAGCGATCTTTGCGGAGATAGGCATGAACTTGCGTGAATACATATCAAATTCAAGCGAAGTCAATGCAGCCATCCCAGAACAAGATCGTTTACAGGGAACAAAAATAAAATTCCTGGGAGTGAAGTTCAACACAGAAACAGATGAATTCCAAGTGAGCACCACATTGGCAGAAAAAGATAACCTAACAAAACGAGACATTGTGAGCCAGTTGAACTCATTATACGACCCTATCGGAGTCGCAGGGCCACTGCTCGTAAAATTGAAGTCTCGAATGAGACAAATATATGACACGACTCTAAAATGGAATGATCGTGTACCGGCAGAACTATGTCGTAAACGGAAAACTGCTTGTCGAGAAGTCCATGACGTGACAGTCAAGATACCAAGGCGCGCAGCCAATGATACCAACAAATGTCATACCTTATGGGTATTCTGCGACGCAAGCAAATTAGACATAGCGGCATGTGCATATCTGCAAAACAATGATACGCATGAAGTCTCCCAACTTATTGGTGGAAAGACTCGCCTAACACCAAAGAAGACAGTTCAAACAATACCCAAACTAGAATTACTTGCGATTTTAATTGCCATAACTCTGGCAAAAACACTGCAAAGTAATTTGAGGGTAACAATTTCCTCAGTAAGCATCGTGAGTGACAGCGAAATAGCGCTAGCGAGGATAAAATCAACACGCAAGTTGCCTCCGTTTATAACTAATCAAAGAAAACGCATCTACCAGATAAAGCAGCCAATAGAAGATACAAAAGAGACCGTAGTTAATTTCTACTACGTCCCCACCAGTAAAAATCCAGCAGATGCTGGAACGAGAGGTCTTACATCCTACACAATCGAAAACCACGATTGGGTGAGAGGCCCTATGGCTCGAAAATGGCCCAAAGAATACTCTGTTGAAGAGCGTGGAAAATGTGACGGAGAACGTCGATAGTTCCAATTGGGAAAAACCAGATCAACCCGAATTGATCATTTCTCATCCTGATGTATCGATTCCCAACGATCCATTGATCGATACAACACGGTACTCGAGGTACACCCGAGTATTAAGGAC